GGGGGGGGGATCTTATGTTCAGATAATTAAACTTAGTTCTGCCTATTGATAATAAATAAACTGGTTCAGTATCAGCAAAGACATAATGTTCAGTGGTTGATTTTAACCCTATCCGTACGTTGTGTTTTACTATCGTATCCCTACGACGTGGGGAACTCTGTGCTACCACTTTCCAAAGAGGAAATTTACTAATTAATCCTAAATTTACTAATTAATCCTATCCGTACGCTTTGCATAGCAGTCTGTCAAATTGATTTATTGAGAAATACTGAACGTTTCGTAGAGATCTTCGCACTAGAAGTATTCTAAAATATGAAGAATACAACTCCGGAGGTACAAAATGACCCCAGGCGTACGGATAGGGTTAAAGTGTCTTAGTCAGAATTCTAAGCGTTTAGAACACTGATGTTAGCTTTGGGACCAAATATATTCTCAGGCACGAATCTCGTGGAAGTATTTGACTCTGGGAAAAGTGGCTGTGCTATACGGGCTTTTTTGTAGTGTTTTTGGTGCTTTGTTTTGTACAGGTTTTGGTTTGATGTTTTTATGGAGGTAGAGGATAGGACAAAATGTTGTGTCCTGTATCAAGCACTGCTTTAGGTCGGGGTTTTTTTTCTTAACATGGGCTTCCACATATGTAATTTTGAAGACTCTGACCCTTGCAGGACGAGACTATCTCTTTAAGGACTTGGGTTTAATGTCAAACTAACATGTTCAGTTGAAGTAAAGTTGATTAGACTAAATTAGAGAAAAGTAGGTACTGAAGTTACTCAAAAACTCTCCTTTTAATTAAGTAACAGTGTCGCTGTGAAATTGTCGTAGCTTAATGGTTGACGGATGTCAAGCTTGAATGTCCCTGTAACAGAGAGGGAGAAAGCTCGGGCTTTTGTGTTATGAAAATATGAGAAAAGAATAGGTCTAGTTAGCGAGGTGCCCACTTATGGTCTCTCAGTGTGACGTTTCCTTATGTATCCGATGTCAATGGCAGGTATGCCTGTAGGTTAGCTCGCGAAACAGCTGCATTGATTGGCCATCATTCATGTGTGGCTTTGTTGTTATGAGCCGTGGCAGATCCATGGCTGTAAGTTTACGTGGGAAGGGAAAATGCCACTGGATACTTTGTGGTCTCAATGAAATAAAGCCCCCCCCCCCCTTCTTACTTCCGTATTTTTTTTCACTACCGCGACGCAGGTACTTTTGTTATTTATTCCCCGTGTTAATTCCATACCATTGTAAAAGGAAACGTTTCCCAGAATATCCAAATTCTTATTTCAGGGTTGTGCTGACGTGCTGTATTTGTTTATTTTGGTATGATCCCATCCTACTGAGGTAGCGGAACTGTTGCCAATGCTCAAAATTTGCTAGGATTCGGATATCAAGTTGCAACTTTTGGATCCGTTTTGTGAGACGTATCTCTAGGTCCTGACGTAGTGTTTTAGTAGTACCTCAGTTGTACAACATTTGTGACTGTACTGTTCAGTGCTAGCTTCTGTAACTCAACTGTTCAGGGCTAGATTCTGTAACATACTATTTTCCCGGAAAGTAAAGCCACTTAAAGAAGGATGCCGCCCACCAACAAAGCCACATCAGCTTCTGATGTTGTGGCCCCTCAGCCTACCAAGATGGGGAAACATAAGTTGAAGAAACGACACGCAAGCGGAGAAAGAACGGTGAGTTCAGGTTGTTGTATGATGTAGCCTATGTCTTTCTGCTTTCAACTCTTACAGAAATTGTGGAGCTGTTGAGCGAATAGATGGGTGGTAGTGCTTCTGTTTTTCCGCATTTGTGAGGGGACCGACCCCCCCCCCCCCTTTTTTTTTTTCTTAAAAAAATGAAGTTCTTTTCACCAGCCGTACAGGGACGTTGTACACCATTTGATCCATGTTTTTTTTAATTTAAGAAAAGGAAAAACAAACCGACAAACAAAACACGTAAGCCATCTGTAAGCTTTTCCGATCCCCCACCACATACACTATGTTTTAGCGCTTTGACATGCCAAATCTTTTTGCCAACCGGACAGACAGCAAATCGTTAAGAGACACCCTTGCATCTGTTCCACGAATTAAAACATTTCTGGGCCTCCCCCCTCATCCACACACCCACACACTCACTCTGTTGTCATAGTATATTTTATTTGTACTTAGTTCCCCGTTCTCCTTCCCCGAAAGTGTTTATCTGCTTGGGAATTTCCCCGGATGACCACGGCGTCACGGGGGCGGGGTCCGTGGCAATGGTATATTTGGTGTCCAGTCCTACTTGAGGCGAATGACGCGACAGCGTTTTCCTTTTATAGGGATCGCGGAGGTAATGGGGTTGTTTTGTTTTTTTTTTGGGGAGATATTATCAATGTGCTAGACAAGGCACTGAGGGGCATTGTCATCTTTGGTAACAATATTTCGAGATCCTTATCAGGGAGACAAGAGTGTGCCCGCGGTTGCTTGTGTGTTTTTTTATTAGCTTAGATAGTCAACCTGAAGCTACCTTTGGCTTTTTTCTAAGAGACAACCGCTTGGGCCTTTTCTCGATTTTCTTACTCCCC